AAATGGAAACTCCAAACAGTGAAGTGAAAGATCCCCTGGTCTAACATCTGGCAAGCAGACTTCCATCGCATCAGATTCTTGGTCCAAGCTGTCTACAATACCCTACCAAGTCCAGTAAACCTTCACACCTCATTGTTCTGGAAGAGGAACCCTGGAACAGCTCCTTGGGAGCTGCCCGAAAGCTCTTGGCACTATCGCTGGCACCATGACCAGGTTCTCAGGGCAGTTGTAGCCACAGCCATTAATACCAACAAGGGCCACCACCAGCCAAAGAACACCATGCTCAGTGCTGGAGAGAAGCCCAATATGCAACCTAGAGGGAAGTCAGGCCTCCTCACCACAGTCCCAGACTGGCAACTAGAAGTGGACCTGGGTAAGCAGCTGAAGTTCCCAGCCCATATAACAACATGCCTTTGATCAGACATGATTATTGTTCCACTAAGCAACTGATCATGCTGAAGCTCACAGTGCCCTTGGAAGAGTGTATGGACAAAGCCAACGGGATAAAGTACCAGGAGCTGGAAGAGGAGTGCATAACGCAAGGATAGCAAACTTGATGTGAGCCTGTGGATGTGGGGTACTGAGGATTTGCAAGGTGTTAACTCTGCAAAGAGTTCACGCTACTGAGTGTCACCGGGGAGGCAAAGAGGAAAGCCATTAGATCAGCTCCTGAAGCTGCAGAGAACCTCATCAGGTGGCTGTGGATCAAGAGGGCAGATCTGTGGCCGATTGTCGCTGGGAAACAAGTTGGGGTCTGATCTGGCTGAGTTACCTGGGAGAGGGTGTCTGATGCTGAAAGACTCGAAACACCCAATGACCCCAGGTTTCATCACTTTTCAACATTTTACAACATTGATACTAAGAACACAACCTGACTCAACATATGTTTTTGTGATAATTTATGCAAACCCAATGTCTCAACTATGAAAAAGTAGTAATTAATTCCAAGATTTAATATCTGGTTTATCATGTGACAACACTGCCATCTAGTAACAGACAAATATCTATAACCGTTGCCATCATTATTAATATTTGTAAGAGTGTAACCATTATACTGTATGTATATTAAGTAAGCAAACTAAGTGTAAACTTCTGCCATTTATTAGTAGTATTGAATTATGTTTTGATTAGTTTGCTAAAATAGTTGCTGGTTAAACAAGATCTTTCTAGGGAAGCGGATAAGTGTTATACCCTGATGATTGGGAGTACAACCTCCAGTCCCCCTTTTTTAAAAATGGGAACCACCAACGCAGTCTCCTACTACACAGATGGTGTGTCAGCCAATATAACTCAACAATGTCCAGACCTTTAAGCATCTGGACATTGTCTCAACTACCTCAGAAACCTCTGCCAGGCAAATTGGCTGGGCTTCCTAAAAGTGTTTAGAATCTGCCTTCTCCATAGAGGACATGTTTTTCAGTTCAGGAGTTCAAAGTGCTCTTTCAACTGCTCAACAATATCCCCAATCTGCATCAGCAGTTATCCTCCCTGACTGAAGATAGCCTGCTTTCCCTTCCTCAGTTGTTTAAAGAACTTCCTTGAGGCCAACCAAAAGTCCTTCTCGAGGACTTTCCTGAACTCCTCCCTCAACCAGGTTTTTGCTTCAGCGACTGCCACAGCTGCGTTTGAGGGTGCACAGGTCTGGGTCCACACCAGAAGGAATATGTATGTGTCTTTGATGTAACCACTATAAGCTCGGCATGCACAAGCTTCAAATATATGTTACATTGGAGACAAAGTCATATGTGAAGCGGGAGTTTTAAAAGGTGCTCTCCACAGTGTGAATTTAAGGTGTCACAGTCCAGCCTCTCCGGCTGGCAGAGTAGCTCTCTGTGATGCAGGTGTACCAGGACCTTGTGGCCTGGATTACAGACTACTTCACTGACAGACCACAGTTTGTCGGGCTGCACAGTGGCTTGTCAGACATGGTGATGAGCAGCACTGGCACACCCCAAGGAACTGTACTATCACTGTTCCTGTTCACCCTCTACACCTCTGACTTCTGCTTCAACTCGGGAGCGTGCCACCTACAGAAGTTCTCTGATGACTCCTCCATTGTCGGCTGTATCTCAGATGATAGGGAGGAAGAGTACAGAGACCTGATTGAGAACTTCATTGGATGGTGCGACAGAAACCACCTACAGCTCAACACAGGGAAAACCAAGTAGCTGGTGGTGGACTTTCAGTGCCCTTATCGCAACTGCCCAGTTGCGATATGATAGTAAAGTTTGATGAACCTTAAAATGAGCATAATATGGCCTCTTTAATGTCTTCATCCCCAGCCTTGTATGTGTGAATACTACCTTATCTTAAATGTACTAAAACCTGAAGGCGGGGTAAGTAATCATATTAATCTCAGCACAGAAATAAAAAATGGTGTCTGACCTCAGAGTCTCCAGTCTACAGTGTGGACTCTCCAGAAAACCACACAGCAGCTTCACTCCTGAATCCTGCAGCTTGTTGTTACTCAGGTCCAGCTCTCTCAGATGGGAGGGGTTGGACTTCAGAGCTGAGACCAGATAATCACAGAACAATGGTTTTATTGTCTGACTAAGTTTTAAATACAAATTATTTATTTAATTTATTGTGATTTGTGTATTTTTTAGTATTGTCTATTTTAAAATAATATAAATAAAGATGAAAATCAAGAGTTATAAGAAGGTTCAGAGTGAATTATCCAGTGAAGATTCTTCTTGTTATATTCAGGTTTAAATGTGGAGCTCAACATTGCTCTGCCACAGTCAATGGACTAAACCACTGAAGAAGAAAACAGACTTTAGCATTAAGATACTCAGTGTGGATCAGTATAATATCAGCCTTATGTCTGCACTTTACTGTCACCACAACTTTCACATCATTACAAAGATACCAAATATGTCAGGATGGATTTTGGGGAAATGTGAACAAAAGACATCTACAATATTTCTTTTAGGAATAGTGGAGTCATAAAATCAAATCATCTTCAGTTTAAACTATTCAGTCAGTATAAACATCATATAGCTTCATAACAATGTTGGAAACAGCAAATACTGAATATATACTATGACCATTCCATATAAACCTTGAAATGATTTTATCCCATATTCTAAATTGTTTCTCAGGTATCTCAATAGGTAGCGACTGAAACAGGTAGAGCATACGAGGGAGAATATTCATTTTTATGGTCTCTATTCGTGAACCAATGTCTAATGGAAGGATAGCCCATGTATCCATATCATCCCTTATTTCTTTATCTACTTTTATATAATTGGCTTAATATGATTCGTAAATTTTTTGTGTTAAAGTGACCCCAAGATATTTAATTTTTGTTGCACTCCAATTCAAATTCAATTTTAGTTGTATGTTTTTAGATGGAAGGTAGTTAAATGTTAAAATTTGTGTTTTAGTCAGATTCAGCTTATATCCCGAGCAGAAACCATTGGTTGATTAATATGGGAATACCATACAAAAGCCCAATGGTGTGTACTTCTCTCCTAACCTTTATCCCTTTAAGATCTTTATTCTGCCCGATTGCTTGTGTCAGGGGCTCAATGAAAATTTCAAACAAGGTTGGTGAAAGACAACAACCCTGCCTGGTTGCCTGGTACACCGTTCTAAAGTTATACTCTAAGTCAGATTGCCGTTTATTTTTATCCTTGCAGCTGGTTTTTGATAGTTTGGAAGTGTTTTAATACATTCAACAGCTCTGTCATTAAGCCCAAATTTTGCAAGTACTTGATATAGAAAAGTCCAATTAATGCTATCAAATGCCTTTTCTGCATCGAGGCTTATTAAGGCTGCACTAATACTTTTATTTTGAATATGATCAATGATATGTAGAGTTTTCCTTATGTTATCTTGGGTCTGGCATCCCTTAATAAAGCCTGTCTGGTCTTTCTCGATGATGTCACTAATAGTGTTCATATCTTTTTGAGATAAGTCTTGCTGCTCTTTTTCTTAGGTATCACTGATATTACAGCTTCTTTCCAGGATGGGGGATTTCAACATTTTCCAGTCTGTACTTAAATGTCAATTCGAGTAGTGGAATAAGTTGTTCACTGAATGTTTTGTACCACTCAGATGGTAGGCCATCACGGCCTAGAGATTTGTTTGTTTTAGGTTTATTTACTGCTTTCTCTATTTCTGCTTTTGTAATGGGTGCGGTCAGAAGATCGTTCAGATTTTCCCAATTGCTGGTAAGTCTAGTTTCTCAAAAAAGCTTGCATTTGGTCTGTGTCAGCAGAAGGAGGCTGGCTATACAAGTTCCCATAGTAGTTCATAAATTTTGTTTCAATATCCTTGGGTTCATAGATTATCTGATTTGTATTTATATCCCTTATCTTATAAATTGTCCTGTCAGCCTGTTGTTTTTTAAATCTTTTTGCCAATAATTTGGTTGCACTCGGCCCCACGTAATAATAAGATTGTGTTAGAAAACCTTGCCTTCTTTTCAATTTCTGTGGTTAATAATTTATCTATATTATCCCTGATTTCTTTAATTCTTGGAAGCAGTAAAGAGTCTCATGTAGTTTTATGTTGTTCAGTTTTAAACAGCTTCTCCTTTTCTTTTTTATAGGCTTCCTCTTTAACTTTTTAAATTGCTGCTGTCTTTGCAAAAAGTTTTCTTCTTATAACTGCTTTAGGAGCATCCCGCAAAATCACGGGGGTAACCTGTCGATTGTTATTTTCCTTTTGATAGGTTGTAATGTCTTTTTTTTTTATC